CCGCTTGGGCCCCTGCTGTTCGCTGCGGCGATCCAGCCCTTGGCCGCCGAGCTGCGGGCCAGTGCGGTGGACCTCTCCATGTTCTACCTGGACGATGGGGTGCTTGCCGGTTCAGTTGAGGCTGTGGCGTCTGCTTTGGCTCACCTTCAGCGCGCTGCTGCTGATGTGGGGCTGGCGTTGAACCTTGCCAAGTGTGAGGCCATCACGGTGGGCATGACTCCTGCTGCGGCCTTGGGGCCTATAGCTCCCTCGCTGCTCACCGCCAGTGATGGGTCCAGCCGAGTCCTCACCGATTTTGAATTTCTGGGGGCCGGGGTTGGCAGCCCCTTGCACCTTGAGACCCATGCAGCCGCCCGCGTGGATGCTGCCAGCAAGCTGCTGCACGCCATCGGTGAGCTCGACGACCCACAGGTGGCCCTTCGGTTGCTGCGAGCCTCTGCGGGGTACGCCCGGCTGGTGCACACCATGCGGTGCTGCCCGCCTGCTGGCCATGAGTCCGCTTTGGACCGCTTTAACCACCTGGTACAGGAATGCTTCAGCTCCTTCACTGGCTTGCATTTGGAGGCCGCTGCTTGGGCCCAGGCCACCCGTCGTGGGCTCAGCCAAGCTGGCTTGGGCCTTCGCTCCACCAAAGCCCACGCTGCAGGCGCGTACCTTGCCTCCGTGGGTGCCTCAGCAACCCTGTGTGGGGAGCTTGATCCCGGCTATTGGCTGGATCGGTCTGGGGGTGTCGCGGCTGCTTTGTCCGCCTTCAATGACCAGTTAGAGGCTGGCCAACACCTGACCATCGATGCGGCCCTGCGCCTCTCCCAGAAAGAATTCAGCCAACGAGCATCCCCGAAGCCAGCGCAGACACTTGGTGCCCCAAGTGCGACGCTGTCCTGGACACGTATGGGTACCATGGTGGGATGTGTTCTGCTGGCGGTGAGCGCACCCTGCGTCACAATGCCTTGCGGGACCTGGTTTTTACATGGGCCGAACGAGGTTGCCTTCGACCCGAGCGAGAGAAAGCTGGCCTCTTGCTACCACAGCGGCCGGATGACGTGAGCAGTGCTCGTCGCCGTCCTGCGGATGTGTTTCTCCAGTCCTTTCTTGGACGCCCAACTGCCCTTGATTTTGCCGTTACGGCACCTCAGCGGTTGGAGGCCCTGGGAGGAGGAGGCGATTCCGCAGCGGAGGCGTACACTGCTTTCAAACGCCGGCACCTTGCCACAGCCGATGTCTGTGCTGCGCAGCAAGTGGTGTTCCTGCTGGTGATTGAGACCACGGGCGCTTGGGCGCCCGAAGCGGCAAAGGCGCTGGACTACATCAGCCGTGCTGTGGTGGTGGGCATGGCGGGGCCACCCTCTTGCAAGAGGCGTGCGCCCTGGTCCGGAGCTGGGGTGCTCGGGCTGCTCTGCGGCGGCGAGCTGAAGTCGTGGGCTATAGGGGTTCGGCGACTTGTCTTCCTTCTGAGCTGCGCCGGTGAAGGGTTGAATGCCTTGTCCCCATCCTGGCTGCTGCAACCACCCGGCTTAGCCGGCGCCTCGGGGCTGGTTGTTGCTTCCAGTCGTGGATGTTTGGTTTGTTTGGTCAGCGCCTCCTAAGTGAGGCACTGACGGTGCAACCCAAGTTTCGGGTTTTTCCCTTTTCCTGCTGGGACCTTTTTGGCCATCAGTTGGCTTCCTCGGTTCCTTTTTGCAGGGTTCCTTTGCTTAATTTTGTTTTGGCCCTACTTGGCCACCCCATATAGGCGATCACACCAATGGTTTCACCTGGGTTGAGAGATCTTACTGGACGCACCATGTGGTTTCAGAGATGTTTATGGTCAATCTTGGGGGATTGATTGAACATTCCTCAAGTGAGTTGCAACCAACCAGTTGTATCAGGGCTTCCTAAGGGGGTGTTTGTTTATAGATGTTTATAGCCCCTTAGCAGTAAAGGGGTATCCATCAACTACCCCTTACAGGGGCCCTGGTGTAGATCAGTGGTTTTTCCCGCATCTCAATGGATGCCGGACGCCCGACCGGTCTTTGTTTGGAGCCGACGATCTCGCTGGTTCGACTGCGCCGAGGCAATCTGGTGCCGGTCTCATACACCAGGAAGGTCCTGCAGGTGGAGAATCATCACGCACAGGCCATGCGGATCAACTCCATCCGGATCATGCAATGCAGCTGAGTATGGGATCAGCCCCGTCACAGTCGGTCAGAGATTTGGGGCGGGCTTGTGATCTGGCATATACCCAGACACTCCATGTATGCCATATATGCTTACATTGACCCCTAAAACCACCCCAATGTAGGCATATATGGCATACATGGAGTGCCTGGTATACATTAGGAGTGGTTTGAGGGGTCAGCGTGGGCATAGTCGTGGGCGGAGTGTTTGGGTTATGATCTAGTAAAGGAAGTTCCTCTTCGGGTCACCGAAAGACCATTCTTTCGAGTCTTGGACTCCCAGGGTAGCATGCTTAGTTAGGGACGGGGGGAGAAATGTCCGCGACTTGACCTAAAGAGACACGCAGTCGAGGTAGTTCGTGAAACGGTCTAGACCAAATTTCATGGACCACCAGCTGGATCCATGTGCTTTTTCTCGCATCTCCGTCGTTGATTCCGAACGTCTCTAGCACCTCCTCACCTTCACACACCATGATTTCACCACCTTCACCACCGCCCCAACCCCGCCAGACTCGCCAGGTCTACTTGCAGCACCAGGTGGCGCGTCGCGTGGCCGCCGATCTGGAGGTGCTGCCGGGGCATGAGATTCACATCGATCCGGCGCTGCTCTTCTTCATCTTGAAGGTCCACCGCGATCGATCCTCGGCAGAGTCAGACAGCGAGTAGGGGGTGGGGGGGTAAGCCAGCAAGGCACGGGACCGGCGCGTTACGCGTGGAGTGCTTGGAAGTGTTTGGGCACCGGCATGGTGGAGGGTGGAAAACGATGGAAACAGCAGATGAAAGCAGCGGCAAAGCACTGGCGTGTTGAGTGGTTGGAGGTGTTGGTATATATATATATGGTTGTCGATCTAAAGGTCCTAGTCAGCAGTGTGTATGACGATGACCCGGAACATATCAAAATCTCATTTGGCGAAAGTATTTTCTCGAGTTGGCGAAAGTAATGTTTTTTGGCGAAAGATCTGGCGAACGATTAAATATGTACTTTTGTATGAATGTTCATTTGCTTTCTGAACAGCTGGTGGCAGTGACTCAGAAGCTAGATGAGCTGTGGAAGTTAGATAACCTGCTGCTGCTGCGGCTGCTACTACTACTACTACGACTACGACTACCACTACCACTATACCCCTACCGCTACTGCTACCGCTACTGCTACTGCTACTGCTGCTACTACTACTACTACTACTCTACTACTACTACTACTACTACTACTACTACTATTCCTGCTCCTGCTTTGGGGGGTGGCTTTGCCACAAAACTCTACCCCGCAAAAGGCGAAAGTTTGGCGAAAGTTCAGCTCAAGATTGGCGAAAGTTCACCCTGCCACATCTGACCCCCAGCCCATTATGAGTAAGTTTGAGTGACCGGCTACTACAGTGATTCTTGCAATTTTGATTCTTGCTGACACCCAGGAGAAACAAAAGAGACGTACAGGGTGTCAACAGTTAAGTAGAAGACACATGCTGACAAACAGTGAAGTTTCTATTTTGTGTTTACCAGTAAAGAAGAAATTGTATCAGCCGTTAGCCTCTTTACCTGTTGCCCTAAAGTGCACAGTCAGTCTAAAAAGATCCTATGTAACTGTCCATGTTGCAATCCATGTTGCAGTCCATGTCTCAAATATTCTTGATTCACAATCTCTAGCAGACTCTAACACTACTCTCACTCTCCATGCACCCTGAACATCCCTGCACATGAACCCTCCACAGCCGTCCACAGCAGCCTGCACACAACGCTCCTTTTACTAGCAAAAGAGCACTGCATCAATAGATCTGAATTTCAGATCAGGCTCGTTTTTTCTGTTCCAAATCATATTTCTTGGCACAGTGGCCACACAAAGAATACTTTTGACAGCACCGTCCTTTTAGTGCCTGACATGTTTCAAACAAGTGATAGTGGGTCCCAGTCCGGCTGAGAAAAATGCCAGGGGCCATGTTCACAGCAAAAGCTGCTGGCAATGAAACTTTGGAATCGTTCGAAGCTTCTGCAACATCATTCACATACTCTTGGGCTGGTGGGCTTCGAGGGCTGGCCTTTGCAACTCGGCCAGGTGGTCGGCTGCAGTGGCTACAGACTTTCTCCAAAATGACACCGACAACTACTCCACCAAGAAAGAACACCAAGAGCGCCGCGAGCAGCATTGACAATTCACAAGAAACTAATCGCCACAGGATTCTGGTCTTGATTTGGCTGCCTGCTGTGATTTCAAAACTTGATTCTGTAAAATTTTGTTTTGGGAACTTTCCCATGCCTTAAAGATGCCATGACTATGACTAAATGACATGACAGCACTGCCAGCACTGCTCCTTAATCCCAAAGTTGCTTTCTGGTGTTACAAAGACAGTTTACGATTTGCATCCAGCACTCCATACAAACGCGGGCACCTCTCACCTCAGCCTTTCTCTACTCTACAGATTGAACCTCTCTAATCTCTCGAGCCTTTAACTTTAAAGGCTCAGACTCTACTGGCTCTACTATACAATGTGAATCTTTTATATATTCGCCTAGAGCCTACTCACCCTCCCCTCCTGAAAGACGTTTGTAGTTTGTAGTCCATAGTTTGTGCACATTCATAGTGCGGATTTTCTTCGCGCATCTTCACGAAACACTCGTCGCTCGCCACACTGCAAGTGTTTCAGCTTTGCTTTGCTGCTTTATGCCAGACCCCGCTTTCTGTTTGACCAGAACGTGGAATCAGTACAGGCTGTACAGGCCTACAGGAACAGGCAACTTGTTGTTCAACAACTGATTGAAGGACCTAGCTACTGTAGCATTATCAAATAATCAATATTGTTGAAATTAGAAAGTAGTAGCAGTAGTAGTAGGAGTAGTTTGGTGGTAGTCATAGTCATAGTAGTCATAGTCGTAGTGGTAGTCTCATGTCAGGGTCAGAGTGACTCATGACTCATGAGTCTGACTTTGAACCTTGGCACCGCAGCTCTGCTACAGAAACACAGCAGATGAAAACTGGCACTATCGAATCAAGAGCCAAATACAGATCTCGACATTGACTGACCTCCCTGCAGTCTATAAGTCTATAAGTGACTGCACAAAGATTTGGGGGTTGATGGATGCAATATGGTCAGGAACCTAGGGCCTAGGCCTAGAACCTAGAATCGAACTTAGCTCAGGAGTTGAGGATTTTAGCCAGCTCTCACCGGGTTTGACCAAAAATCAATGTCGCAGAAGAATCGCTGTCACCACCGCTGTCACCATCGCTGTCAGCCGGAGAAGGTATCTCCACCGAGGGAGATCGATGTGGAATCTGAAACTGCGTCCGTTCCTGTAGTTCGCAGATCGGCCTGAGAGAGAAATGCTCTTGAGTCATATGAGTCATGAGACCTCTTTCAAATCAGGCAACAAACCATGAACCTCCTGGTCCTTGAATAATTGCACTTGATCACTGACACCCTGAAACTCTGCACACCCCATGGTCTGACCCTGATTCAAATCGCCTGTCATCTTTTCCAAGCTTGAGCGCGTAGATCAAGATGGCGACAACACAAGCGCCGACCACAGACGTGGTCATGGAATTTCCTGACAATGTGTGATCGTTCAACAAAGATCCAAGATATGGAAACAGCAAACGGAGCTGAACTGTGAGAACACAGAAGTTGCAATTGCAATTGCTTAGGCTTAGACACAAGTATCATAGGCTCAGGCTGAGTCATTACGTCAGTCACTCAAAGTCGCATGAACTGAACTACCCCTACCCCTGCCTTTGTGATTGTCGACTGGATAATAATTATGAGTCACAGAAGTCACAGAAGCCCTTGAGGTGTGAATTCGGATTGCAATAACCACATCAAATATAGTTTAATACGATAGATAGATAGATAAAGCTCAATATGTGTACTCATAGTCATAGTCATAGTCTAGTCTCAGTCTCATAGTCATAGTTAAAGTTATAGTCCTAGTCCTAGTCATAGAGTCTCAGTCGGAGTGCCAGAAACTGAGTCATGTGAGTCATGTGTCATGAGTCATGAGATTTAAAGTCAGAGTCAGAGCTGACTAACCCCGACAACCGCTCCTGCCAACCGGGTGTACAAGCTACTTTCTCCCTCTGGAAAGGCGAACTCTTGCACGTCGAAGCCTTGCACGGCCATCAATACCTCTGACAGAGTTCAAGGAAACTTCGTTTGGACACATGACTCATGACACAGGTCACAGGTCACAGACACGTGACATCACTTCAATCACTTCACGCAATGTGATGCAACAATGCCAATGGCAATCACAGAACAAAGCCAAAGCAATGAGTCAGCTAGTGCGTCACATTAGCCACATCCATCATTGCATCATGTTTTGTTTCCTCCCTGGTGCCGCGGTGCCCTTCTATAGTGTCACATGACATGCACAGTGTACAGTCAGACAGTCTAGGCCTAGGCAGTCTAGGCAGGTTCTCGATCTACAAACATTTACCGACTACAGGCACACACCTGGCCAGCAGAGGTGGCTCTAAGGTGCGGGTTCTGCAGTGTGCCCCCATGGAAATTCATTTGGCGCCGAATTTCCAAAACCTAGCCAAAATTGTGGCAGAAGCCACACACTGGATCTACTTCTTAGCCTTTTTGGCTGTGGATTTCTTGCTCCCTTCACTGTCCCGTCTCTTTTTCTCCTTGTCCTTGCTCTTGTCACTGGGCTGCGGCACACGCTTCTTGACTTCCTCAATCTTTTCCTTCAAGGTCTTGGGCAACTGGCTGACACCCAAGCCAGCAAAGTACTTGTGGCTGTACTTCTCGGAAACAGCCACGTCTGCCACAGTAGCAGTAGGGCCAGAGGAAAGGTAGAGGTGAGCAAAAAGCAAAGTGTTGCCCAGAACGTGAGTCTTGTGGGTCATTTCTTTGATCGTGGACTGGGTGGACACTGCCAATTTGACAAGGACCTGGATCAAGGCCACTGAGCTGGAGTGCTTCGCGATGGTGTCAAGTGAGGAAGAGAAGACCTCGGCTTGTCTGTTTCCCTTCTTCAATTTCTCGAAATCATTCTTCATCTCGTCCTCCGCTTCCTTCACAAAGACCCATTCAACTTCTTTCAAAGTCCAGGACTCCACACATGGTCCAACTTGTTCATACTTCTGGAGAAAGGACTTCAAAGGATCCTGGTGAACATCAGCCCCCACATCAATTGCATTTCCAAACTTCTTTGAGAACGCTTGGCTGAACTCCTCAGCCTTCTGGCACACTTCTTGGAAAACCTCATCCTTCAAAGACTTGGAAGTGGCAGCTGCGAAGGCAGACTCCGCAAGTGGGAGCTTGGAACTGAACATGGCCAAGTGGTTCATGCCCAGTGAATTGATAGTCTCGATCTCCTTCTCCCATGGCACCCCCAAAACATGTGCCAGAGGCTGCAAATTTTTCGGGAGAAGCTCAGTGATGCCAGCGCTGGTCAGGTCAATCTCTTTGTTGGCCAGTGCAACCTTGGCCCGTGCATCGCAGGCTTTCTGTAGCCGGGAAGCCATGCCACTGAGAGCATCGAGAGCCTTTTGGAGGTGTTCTGATCCGGGATGATTCAGATGATGAGTCTCAACAGTCCACTTGCCTTGAAACAACCCTGCAAACTCGGAGACAGCATGCAAAGTTCTCAGGTTGAATGCATTGGAGTCAGAGTCGGAGACATTGGGAAAGAGGGAAGTCTCGT